GTAATTTTCAATATATCAAAAATTTCCTATGTACATATCTACACGAAAAAAAAATTTGCTAATATATAGACAACTAAAAATATTAGCTGCAGGAGCAAATTTTCTTGCTTTCATAGAAAAGTTATTTAGTTGTGATAACTAAATAACTTTGCTATGAAAGCAAGAAAATTTGCTCCTGCAGTTAATATTTTTAGTTGTCTATATATTAGCAAATCTTTCTTTTCCGTATAGCTATTGGCATGTAGATGACGGAGAATTTTGGTTTTTTGTTCTATATCAACATCTGCGACACTTATGCTATTAACCCCGGAGAAAACACACTCATGTTGACAAAGCTCTGGCGCTGTGATTTTGTAATATATGTTAACATAAAAATTTGAATATACAATTTAAAACATGTACAATAAAGTCTTCCAAACGGATTTTTTATTCATTTCTTTGTTTGCCCACAAAAAATTGTCAAAAATAATTTTCGGGCGCTAGAATGATGTTATCTCTTAAAACAGCACGACCAATTCTTTCCAAATATAATTCGCTAGTAATTTTATTTTTCAACCGAAGTGTGTGCGATAAACTGACTGATATGAGGACAAAGTAATTCTCTAACACACGCGCAGCGTCACTTATCTCCAATACAGACGCGTTAAGAATCAATCGCTTGTCACCTTCACGAAAATGGGTTCCGGCTTCGCCGCGATCGTGATTACTCACAGTCGCAATTAAGACAAGTTACAAGGGCGCTTCCTGCGTTCAGGCGTATCTCCGTATATATAGGTTAACGGATCACCGTGCGCCAGCATTCGTCTTCCCGCCGGATGACCCTTAACCTCGCTCTCTACCTCCTTCTTTCCGACAAAGGATTTTCACGAGCCGCGGGAAATACCGGCGGCTAATTTCTGAAATCGAACCAGCTGCAACCGGCCGCGCGAGAAAGCGGGGGTGGTACACCCATGAATCCCTCGGAAGCCACTATTATTCTAGAGAGGATCGTACGTATTTTACCGCGGTCGGGGGCGAGAGCGAGCGCGAGAGAACGAGCGATATGGGCAAAGAATA